AGATAGATAGATAGATAGATATAGATATATATTCATATATACATTTATGTTTTTATAAATGTTTTCATACATTCCTGCTACATACATATATCATGTCCATAGCTAAATACAGATGAACAGACTGACAGAGATAGACCGACAAACAGACACATAGATCGACAGGTAAATAAATAGATAACATAGACAAGAAAAGACTGATACACAAACAAAAAAGTAAGCAAACAAATATATAGATTGTCAGGTATATAAATAGATAAGATAGACAAGACAAGACTGAAAGTAAGCAGGTGATAAGTAATTATTCCAACAGATATATATCTCTCGCAGATGAATATTTTTCGTGGTTCGTCTTCCCGGCAGCCAAGCCAACTAGACTGCGGAGACAGCACGACTGAACACCTCGCGACGCTGCGGCTCTCAGCAGTGAAAAAACAGAGAAACGTTTTTTTTACCGTTTAAAAGAAGAAAACGTTTTTTTTTGTGTTTGTTTATTTTTGCCTTTAAAAAGATGAAAACGTTTTCTTTTTTGCCTTTTAAAAGATGAAGAAAACATGCCTTTCATTTTTAAAAGAAGAAAAAAAAAACGTTTTTCGTCCTTTAAAAGAAAACGTTTTTTTTTTTTTCATTTTTTCTCCCTCATATACCTACGTTAAAAAGTATCATGATCGATGTGGTTTTATCGGTGTGAATGAACTTTATGTAATGTTGATGTTTACGTAATATCGAAGTTAATATCGAAGATGTGGTTCGTCTAAAAAGTGTTATTGATGTAGTTGGAGATAACAAAATTCAACTAAAATGATACAGGCACTTCATTAGCAATTATTGTGTTTAGCAATAAGACGCACATTTTTCTTTCTTTCTTTCTTCTTCTTCCTTTTTTCGCTAGGCTGAATTCTCCGCAAATCTATCAATATTAGAGAGAAAAAAAAACAAGATTTTTAAAATGAGCGACATGATATTGAACATCATCCTTTCTCTTTTTTATGACGAATTAAATTTCAAATCACATCAGCCATAGGTCTACATACAAAAAAAAAATATTTATATATTCGATGAGAATAACTCAACAGACCTACACTTCTTATGTAAAGATGTTAACCCTAACCATGCTGCACTCGGCATCTATAACCCCCCCCCATAAAAGATAAATGTCACAATGACGATAATATATATTGATAATCAAATAATAACAATAACGGTAATTATGATAATAACAACGATGATGATAATAACAAAACAAGAGCTATATCAATAATATTATAATAATAAAATCATGATAATAATAACAATAACGGTAATAATAATAATAACAACGGTGATGATAATAATAACAAAACAACAAGAGGTATATCAATAATAGCATAATAATAATAACAAATCAACAACAACAATAAACAATCAATAATAGCAATAATAATAACAAACAACAACAACAATAATAAAAACCACTGCACTAACTGACATCGTTATCAAGAATTGGCTTTACGTAGACAACGAAACGACACTTCAGTAATTTCACCGCGTTAGAAATTTCACCTGTTGAAAACCGCCCATTACGATGATGCTTGTTAAAATAACTTTTTTTCTACACTTTTTACGTTTGAATATGAAAATTTTAGTAATTCGTTGATAGCATTATATTTGAATGTATAATCTATGTTTACATTACGAACTCTTTAATTAGTTAATAATGTAAACAGTAAGTTGTTTCATTCTATCTTTATTTGATTCAATATTTTCTGCTTTCTAAAATGATCTATTCCTGATACATATTATTTCTTAATTTGGGTTTTACTCGTATCAAAAAAACGTTTACCTTTCTTAGGGAATTTTAGAACAATAGAGCAGACAGACGTATGTTTCTGTTGTGTTTATTATCATCTTTTACAGTTATAAACTAATTTACGACACAAAATTATACAGTTTTTGGATAAATGTCTATGGTTATCGAGTGTATCTACCCAAGTACATTTCAGTTTGCCTGAAGTATACATACATATATATAATATATATATATATATATATATATATATATATATAATATATATAACCGTATTCATGTTGACAAATGTGGAAAGGTATGAGTGAGAACGAATATCTTCACAATACAAGAGATGTATTTATCTGGTTTCGATTATATCTTCGTCAGAAATACAACCGGTTAAATACATCTCTTGTATTGTGAAGATATTCGTTCTCATTCATACCTTTCCACACACACACACACACACACACACACACACACACACACACACACACACACACACACATATATATATATATATATATATATATATATATATATATATATATATATATATATATATATATGCATAAGCATACATGTGTGCATTTGTGTGTGTGTTGTGTTTGTGTTTGTGTTGTGTTGTGTGTGTGTGTGTGTGTGTGTGTGTGTGTGTGTGTGTGTGTGTGTGTGTGTGTGTGTGTGTGTGTGTGGTGTGCGTGTGCGTGTGCGTGTGCGTGTGCGTGTATGTGTGTGTGTGTGTGTGTGTGTGTGTGTGTGTGTGTGTGTGTGTGTGTGTGTGTGTGTGTGTGTGTGTGTGTGTGTGTGTGTGTCTGTCTCTTTCTTACTCTGTCCCTGTCTCTTTTTATGTGTGTCTGTTTGTGCACACAAAAACACACACACATACACACACACAGACGCACACACACACACACATATTATATAATATATATATATATTTATTATATATATATATACATATATATATATATATATATATATATATATCCGTATATATATTTACATTTACATATGTGTAAATATAACCTATACATAAATTTATGCATATATCTATATATATATTAATATATCTTTATCTATCTCTCTATCCAGTCCATCCATTCATCCATCTATTTATGTGTATGTTTGTATGTACATATATATATATATATATTATATATATACTATATCTAATATATATAATATATATTATATATATACATAATATATATATACATATATAATGTAATATATACATATATATAATACATATATGTATACATATATATAATTATACACATATATAATATACATATATTATACATATATATATTATATATATATATATATATATATATATATATATATATATACATGTATATATATATGCATATATATACACATATATACACAAACTTATTCATATTTGTGCATGTATACATTAATTTAAATGAATGCATATAAATTCACATATGTTTATGCTGATGTGTTTCTGTATTTATGTATTCATACTGCATGCATGTATGTATTAATGTACATACATAACACAGTATTATATTATAAAACGTTACTTTATACTTCGAATTGTAGTGTCTAATCTTAAGTTTCCGTAAAAACAACAAATTTTGATTAAAAAGATTTCGAAAATCAAATGACATTGTGTCGAATGATTAGTTACTTGACTGACAAATTACTATAACCATCAATAACTGCCTTGATGTCAGTGTAAATAATTAATCTCAACTCTAAAATAAATCTCCCACATTAAATAATGACAGATTATGAAGAAGAAAAAAATCTGGGGATTTCGGAAAATTACGCATACTATTTATCAGTATACTATTTATCAGTATTACTATGTAATAGTAAGAGGTATGAGTGTAAATATCTGGGACATGTATACGCATTTCTTACTCCCTTTGACGGAATATACAATAGCCTCCGAAATTTATTCGCGTATTACAAAATTATCAATTTATTATTCGTATATTCTGTTTATAGTTTAATTCATTCAGCGATCCAGTTTCCAAACTGAAAAATACAGGTCCACCTAAAGGCAACACTATTTCTTATTCCATAATCCTAATTTCTACAAACGTCAGGATATAATAAAGATAAATATATAATATGCTAGAATAAGAAGGTGCAAGAAAAACACACAAGATATACATACGGTGTCGAGCATCATGATCGCTGTAGAAGTGGTTGATGTTAGACTCTTTGGCTCCATGTGGACACCCTCCCTCGCAACTACAGCTTACACCATCTCATCACCACTCCCATCACCACACCTGCATCACATCACTAATTCATCACAACGCCACACTGTCTTCTCCCCAAAAAAAGTGTTTCTTCGGCCTCAGCGTCTCAGGAATGTCGACTGTAGGAGGACGTGTTCCCGACTCTTCATCTGTCACACACGTATTATTATCTCGCGAACTCTCTCTCTCTCTATCTCACCCGCCTTCCTTATCCCTCGCGCTTTTTCTAGGTCTCTGACTCGCAAATCGAACAGCACTTCGGCATTTTTCCTTCCCACCAGTACTAAGAAGCGAGTGTTAAAAAAAAATTAGAAAATGGTCACCTCCAACTCCCCTCTTTCTCAGTATCTTCCATTCAGCGTCGTCTGCTCTTTGGGAGATCGCGCAGCCGCACTCGGTCCCCGAAAGGCGGCATCTCTATTGTAACATTTTCTCCCCTTTTTTGTGTGGTTTTAGCTCTCAGGGAAATGGAAATAGTCGGCTGACGGGAAAGCTGTTCGGGTCCGCTATCTGATATATCGATTGGGATTTCTCTGGCTTTAAAAGGGAGGGAGGATTTGGGGATTTTCTAATTTTATTATTCGTGTCTTTTTTTTTCTTCATATTGTGAGAGAGATGTGTTGTGTGTATGTGTAAAGCCGCGGGGGATTTTGTAATTGATAAATATCTGGTCTTCTATAGCGCATACGAGTTACAAAGAAATATAAATCGTTTGAAGTACATGGCGGCTTTCATTGGGAGCGAATAGCGTAATTCTTTTAATTTCTTTATTTCCAATTCATTCAGGCGTTTCAAGCACTAGACAAATATCATCGCCATTCTTTACATAGCGGAGAATCACGGTTAATCGGTAGATAAAATAATCTAAAACCAATCTTTTTTAATGTTCTTGTCGCCCCTTTGAAATACTCTAATAAAGTATAATTACTATCGTTCGACTTCTGGCTCTGGCTTAGGCGTGCGTGTGTTAAATGACAGATCAACCCTTTCGAACGCACTACGAGGAGTAAACAGTGATCAGCTGACAGCGAAGGGAGGAACTCCGACGCCCATCCTTTTCTCTTCATAATTACACCCTCGCCGCTTCCTCTCCCTTGGCTTTGTTACCAAGAGCTCGACAAATGAAGGGCAGATGATATGACATCGCGTAGAAGGGAAATATAACGAAGAAGATGAGTGATAGAGACTACTCGCCGCTGAGCTCCGCCTGTGTGCGGGCTCTGAGCGACAAGTTATATGATAAAAGAAAAGCCGCCGCTTTGGAAATTGAAAAGTAATTATCAATGATGGATTGCTCTTGTGGTCTTAATGATAAGTGAATGTTCATGGTAAAGTCTAAATAAGTGTTGGTAATGGCTTATTAGGCGTCAGAGTGGGAGGAGAAACTACAGGAGGAAACGCCTCAAATACTCACGTTTTCCTCGATTTGATTCTGTTGTTTAGCTGTTACGTAAGTCTTGAATACATAAACATTAGTGATATAGATACACAAAGTTATAGGAAGTCAAAATGTATGAGTATGGATATTCACTTGCTTTGCAATTTTGGTTGCAATTAGGGTACACCTGTAATTTGATCTTTGTGATGTAAGATTTGTAGATTATCATAGTTTATTTCAGTTAATATTTGCCTGTTTGATTACAATTAGGCCTATGTTATTTTATTTTGAAAAATACTCATTTAGGAATAGTTTCAGTGTCATGTTATGTTATATGGTAGTGTGCATTTAAAGAATTCATAGTAGCTGTTTTAAGGACACCTAGGCATTCAACATTGGCTTCAAGTCAGTTGCCACAAATGCTACAGAGAAAGGCTTTCTTACCTCCACTTTGTATATTCTGGCAAAATTGAGCTTTTAGACCTTTCTGGTAATTTATTATTCAAAAGAGAACCAGTCAGAGTTCTGTCTTTCAAGAATGTATATGATCCAAGTTTATTAGCTGTTGTTGAATCATAAAGCATAGCGATCAATTGCTTGACACTGCTCCTAATATATTGGACTTAAGATTGTAGGTCATCTCTCATAGATCACAAAAAGTTCTAAGTGAGTTTGGATTGAACACAACTGTGTACTTAGAAGAAAAAATCACACAATGACAGTGGCTTTTACCCACACTAAACAGAGCCACCTACTGGGTGCCATGAATAGTCAGCTTCTGGAGTGAAAAAATTAGAAGTTTATATGGGTAACATGTTTATTGAGATGTCTTTGATTTTGGCTGGAATGTATGCAATCTTTTAAACCATTGTGCTGGGATGTCAAAGCATATATACCATGTGCACTGTGAGTAATTTATTAACTGCATTTACATAAAGATGGCTCATCATGCAAAATCATAGATTGAAATGAGAATTGTCCATTCATGCAGTGGGTAAATGCTTGATTGTTTTTCTATAATTTTTTTGTATGATGTCATCTGTGTAATCATTAAAGATTCTAAAGTTCTAGAGATGATTCAGTCAATGAATTTATGAATATAGAAGATATAAAATATATAAAACAACACCACTTGGTGCAAAAAATAGATTACCGAAAGTAAAGAATGGGTCAGAAATGCTTATCTGAATCCACAAATCTTTGCTTGAGTAGCTAAGTCCAGAAGTGACATGGCCCCAGCTTTTCTGCATCAGGAAAGGAAAATGAAACCTCCACCAGGATTATTTTAGCAAGAAAAAAATTTGTCAACCTCCTTAGAGATTTATCAGCAAACATGTGTGCGGGAGGCTTGTTGACCTTCACCAGAGCATGAAGCATGGAGACCTTGGCATTACTTCATGAGGGTCTTATTCAGAACAATTACCAGGGTTTCATTACATTAAACATTTTTCCATGAGATGTTTGTCCTTTATGTATAGAACTATATTTCACATTTTATTTTTGCATGTTGGTTTTGTTCCTTTGTATTCTTATTTAGGAACACCTTAT